ACATAGCTACCCTGGGTGTCTATACCTGGCAAGGTGCCAACTACACCTTTATTTTCAAGGTGGCCTGAACTGAGTGTTTTAGGGCAGCAAACCCTGGTCTCAGGCCACCTTGACTTTAGCTTGAAAACCACAGCTTTGAAGCCTCATGCGCGCCATACCAGAGCTGTAGCTACTTGTAGCTACCCTGGGTCCGTATAAATAGTATGTTGCTATACCTCTTACACACCTATACAAGTTCAAAGCACGAATGAGACTTCAAGGCTGTGGATTGCTGTGCGTGTGTAGAGGTTCTCAAGCGGTTGACGGAAAGGGAACTTGAAGTACTATACCTGGTTGCTGCACTATAGCTACCCTAGGTCTCTCTACCTTGCAAGGTGCCAACTACACCTTTCCATTCAGATGATGCAAATGATGCATTTGGCATTTCTTGCATCACCACCCCTCAAAAATCACCTCCAACACAACCTCAAAAAACCTTCCCTCGGAGCACCCTCCTCCCCCAGCATGTGCTGAGTTGACGTATACCTTTCTCGGGCCACCCCCCCAGACCCCCTAACTACTCACTTCGTTCGCCAGACACAACTCCGCTAGCGCCTTCTACGAAGGCTGGCTTTCGTAACTTATGTACAGCAATTCTACGGCTAAGAAGTAAACTCCTGAACCATATATATATATATACGAGTAAAAACAGGTGCCATTCTAATTTCTGTATGTCTATTCACATCTGAATCACTCTTATCATTGTTGTGATTCTGGGTATATTATTGGTTGTCAAGAAATAGCATCAGGAAAAATAATCCAGATTCCAGATATTTCAATGATGACACATATAGCAAAACTTGGGTGATCGCTGTGTTGCCCTGTTCTTTCTGACATCCTTTTTTCACAACCAACAACTGGGCCGTTTGTTGGAACAGCTTGAGGAAATCCTGAAAAGCAGCCTCTCAGCTCAAGCTGCTTACTCACCTCCCAGTCCAAACCAAGTCCACAGAGCGAGACTCCACTCACCTGGAGACTCCACTCACCGTCTTGTTTCAATTCTCGATAGAAAGCACCTGAAGAAACACAAGCTTTAGTAGAGATTTCGATCTCAAGGTCTTCAGTGTTTACCTTTGCAACTGAAAAACGTCTATAGTTGCAAGAACCCCTCCTTCACCTGCCTTAAACCCCCAACCATTGAACCGTTCTTAAGACAAGCAGACACACCCGCTCCGAGGCTCGTTTCATGGCCCTCATCACCACCAGCGGGGCCGCCCGCAGCTGGGGCGCCGCGTGTTGCAGCGCCAGGCCCTCCTGAATACGACCCTACCGACGCCGGTGCGGTCGGAGCCCAGCCCGGTCGAACCGTGGAATCGACCCAAAAGAACCGGATAGACTCCGGACCAAAGAAGGCAGAAAGGGATAGAAGGTCGTGTCCGGACCCCTTCGGAAGGGTCGTGTCCGGACCAAATGTCTGAGTCAAAGGATTCATGGCTTCGAAAAGTCTTGGAAAGGCGCAGGAAAATGCTTGGGTCTCGGATGCCAATCCAGCAATAGCCAGGTCCAAGGAGTCCATTGTGGCCCCAGTTGGTCGTCATAATCCACCAATAGCCAGGTCAAGTACTGGGATAAGCTCGCTGAAGTACGTGTGCAACATGAAAATGCAAACGCTTGCCTTCATCCTCCGTCTATTACTGCAAATATGATATAACTGATATAACAATATACCTACCCCTGTCAGTACTGGTTTTTCCTTAAAATCCAGAAAAAACGCTTTTGGGTCAACCGTCCAAAACAGATTCCCCCGCTCAAGACAATCCCAAAAACGACGGTTCTTCACTTCTGTGATCTTCGCTCACGTCCTGTTGGAAGGCCAGGTCCACCTGAGTGACGAAAAAGGGCCGCCAGCGGCTTTTCCAGCTGGGGAATCCAGTGAAGCTAAGAAGTTGTTTCAGATTTCCAAAGCCCAAGCGAAAGAATCCGAGGATTTTGGATAGGACTTTAACCCAAAATCTAGATCTGGATCCTATCCAAGATTTTGGAATCTGGATCGTGGATTTAGTTAAAGCTGTTTGGATAGGATCTGGAACTGACTTTAACCATCTTTAACCCAAAAACGAACGCCCAGGTAAAACCTGTCCACACGCAAATGTTGTGCTGTACGAACAGGTTCGGTTCAGCTTTGGAAAGGCTGGAAGCACTTGCAGGACTTGAAGCTGAGCAAGAACCTGCTACAACCTCGAGTGGAGAGTGCTCCCTTACACTTCAATCTCTCTCTCTCTCTCTCTCTTGCACACCGAAAACACTCAGCCACCGCCCACTGCCCACCGGCCTAGGCCCATCCCCGGCCCCAAATCAAGGCCCACCGGCCACCCTTGTCGCGCGGCGCTCACGCTGCGCCAAGGCGCCAGGTCTTCGTCTCCCTTGAGCCGGGCCGAGACGAACTCGAGGGCCCTCCAGGTCCTGAGGACGACGGGTCGGCATGAGGAACCACTGTGCTTCATGCGTGTGCACTGTCCGCTTCGGGTATGGTGCTGAAAGGCTGAGAAAAAAAGGAAGAGTCAAGTCGTCAGTGTCATCTTCACTTAGAATCCAGGCGTCATTGTTGCCATCATGGTTTTCCAGCGAAGCTGCCAATTTAACTTTCATCCAGATCAAAACCCCTGTGACATCAGAGAGATGATAAGAGCGACGCACCAAGGAGCACGCTTTTCCTTTGAGAAAGGACATCGGTGAGTGTTTATCAGAGAGAGCGCGAGGAGCATGATGACAAGCATCTGCACTTTGATACCCAGCCACCATCAACTATTCAACTATATCCAACGCACTGCCGAAGTCGGCAACAGAAGCCCTTCAGTAACGGTGTGGCCACTCTGTTCTGCTCAGCTTCTCTCGGAAAGGCGTTGGGTCCAATGTAAGCCACAGAATTTGGGAGGGTCACCTTCAGCAAAGACCTGCAATTTGCAAAGGCATTGCTTCCAATGTGGGTCACGGAGTCCGGGATGGTCAAGTTAGCCAAGGAGCTGCAACCCTCAAACGCACTGGACCCTATATGGGTCACTGAGTTTGGGATGGTCAAGCTTGCCAAAGACTGGCAATGCTTAAAGGCGCGATCCTCAATGTGGGTCACCGAATCTGGGATGGTCAAGCTCACCAAGGAGCTGCAATTTGCGAAGGCACCATCCCAAATGTAGGCCACTGACATCGGGATGGTCAAGTCCACCAAGGAGCTGCAATTCGCAAAGGCACTGGCCCCTATGTGGGTCACTGAGTTTGGAAGGGCCAAGTTCACCAAGGATGCGCAAGCCTGGAAAGCACAGTTCCGAATGTGTGTCACTGAGTCCGGGATGGTCAAGCTCACCAAGGATCTGCAATCCTGAAAGGCGACATTGCCAATCTCGGTCAAAGAGTTTGGGATGGTCAAGCTCGCCAAAGAGCTGCAACCCTGAAAAGCGCGATCCCCAATGTGGGTCACTGAGTCTGGGATGGTCAAGTTTGCCAGAGAGCTGCAACTGGCAAAGGCACAAAGGTCTATCCTGGTCACAGAGTTTGGGATGGCCAAGTTCACCAAGGATGTGCAACGCTCAAAGGCATAATTCCCAATGCGGGTCACTGAGTTTGGGATGGTCAATTTGGCCAACTGTTCGCAGTGTTGAAATGCTTTCTCAGAAATTTGAATTTCGCCGTCCGGGATTTCAACGGCAAGCAGAAGATTCAAGTCCATTTCACTGTCAAAGTTGGCGATCGCTCTTGTGTTGGAACATCTCACGAAGTTTGGCTTGAAAACAACACTCACTACAGTATCTGGAGCCAGCCCCGCATCTCCCACCAGTTCATCATTGTCCAGCAGCCGATCTCCAATAAGTATCTCTACCCCAGTAGTTCGGCGAGTCCCTTCATCGGAAAGCTGAACTTCCTTGACTTGCTGCTTCAGCTCTCGACCCGTCATCTCGGGCAGTACTTGAAGACAAATCATTTCGCCATTGACCTGCAGCGCTGAAACTCTCATTGCCATGGCTTCTTTACAAATACTCCACGCAGGAGTTCAGCTGATCTTATTGGCTATATGTAGTGTATACTTGTTTGGCTACGTTGCTTGCATTTCTAGAATGTGCTCTGATGGTCTGAGGCAGCCCACACACCTGACGTTGACCTGCGATCTGCACGCTTTTCATGTATCATTTATCTCAATGGGATCACTTTCAATCATCGACATGGAGCCCCGACACCGCGAAGGGATGGAAGACACGAGCGGCCGCCGCTCCAGCGCGCTCCGAACCACGAACGTCCCGTCCCGTGCCCGTGTCCCGCGACGGTGGTGGACTTCGGGGAAGCGAAGACAGGCTCAGTGATCGAAATGATACCAAAAAGCCTGTCTTCGCTTCCCCGAATGGTATCAAAAGCCATTTAATCTTCAGTTTTAAAAACAAAAAGAACTGATACCAAGCCAAGCCAAGCCAAGCCAAGTGCTGAACAAAGAAAGTGCGATTCGATCGCGAGATGCCAGAATGGAAAAGGGAAAAAAATTTGGAGAAGAACTGGGAAGGATGGAAAGCACATCCAGAAATTGATCATGTTCACCGTTGATATCTCAACTCCCCGGCTTTTTCGGGAATGGTCCTTCACATCTACCCTGGAGAAGGAAATTCATCAACAGTCAATATTGATCACATGGTTTGGTGGAGAGGATTGCAATTGAAGACCACTGGTCTTCCAGCCTTTAATTGAAACGATGTCTCAGAGGCTTGAATATAGTTGCGAGCAAACACGATCGAAGCAAAAAACAGCATAAGTATATAATGCAAAGAAGAACAAGTCGTCTTCAAATCCTGAATGTTTCAACTATGTAACTATCTCCGACTATGATCCTGAGAAAAAGACTCCACAGGAATGCACGTCGTCCAACTGCTCCTATCTCCCATCTAAACCGCCCCGTGGCACTGTCTGTTTCGTCTTCTTCTCCCATCTCAACCGACCCCGCAGCGTACGTTCCTCCAAGCGTCTGCGCCACCGCGGCGTAGGCCACGCTCTCATCGTCGCGCAGGTGCTCCGTCGCGTGCCGCAGCACTTGGCCGGCCTGGAACGAGGGTTGGCCCGGCCACGCTGCGGTGTCGAGGCGGAGCCGTTCGAACTTTCCGTGCGGACGTTTGGGGAGGTGGAAGGGAGAAAGGGTGGAAGGGATCGGAGCTTCTCGGAAGATTTGGGTGGATGATCTGATGCATCGATGAGCTTCTTCGATGGACACGCCTCATGTTCGGGGAGGATGGCCGCTTCATTTTGGGCCGGTGTGAAGCTGGCGGCATCTTTGGAGATGTTCGGGTTGTTAAACCAAGGGCATCTTGGAAATGACTCAATGATTGGAACAGGGTCACTGATTGTTAGTTGCTGCCAGCACTTTCATGGACAAGGGTGTGTGATAAAGGATAGGGGTGCCCATTGTCTACTCATTGGTTGCGAAAGCCACCCCTTTGTCAGCTGCTGCATGAAGCGTAAAAAACATAATGTCCTTGGTCTAACGAGCTTGCAAGAAGACTCAAAAACATCAACAAGTTCCCCGCGATCTTCCACGGGCGTTCTGCCACCTGCTTCACTGCCAGCAGCACGATGATCTTCTCTCCGCAGAGCCTCCCACCATGGTTCTTGGGACCAGGATCAGAGAGTTGATGCAAGTTAGGGGCAAGGAGTTTTCATCTGAATCTATACGGTGGTTATTTGACCCAACAAGTAACTACCCATCATCGTTTCTGGTTCCATCCTGCTTGAACACGACCTTCCTCGACGGAACGTTCTCGAAGGAGTCACAGTGGAACCAGGTCCCCACGAATGTTTTGGAGTTCTGCAGTACTTTTGCCCAAAAGACTCCGCTCCAGAAAAGCACCAAAGGGGTGTTCTTTTCAGCCTGGGTGCCACATTTACAGTAAACAAACTGACTTCAAGGCGCAAGTCACGAACGCCACCCAAATGCCAGACATGGAGAAGCACACACATGGGAGCGAACACATGTGATGAGAGCACACAGATGAGGGCACATGCATGAAAGTACACAATGAAAGCACGCATATGAGAGAAAACAGGGGCGCGCGTGTGTCAAGCACATGAAAACACCAGAGGAGACCACACAGGTGAGAACACACATAGTGTGAGAACACAAATAGTGTGAGAACACGCAGCAAGGCACTTAAACGAAGCTTTTTGGGCGAGACGTCTCCTTTTTGTTTAAACCTGCCAGGAAGTCCAACCAAAGACCAGGGCCAAGTCCAGAGGGCGTCTGCACGAAACCTGCACATCGCAGTAAAATGGTTCCGATCCCCTGGCCAAAACACGAGAATTCCTTTGCACTCGAAAAGTGACCACCAAGTCCCAAAATGAGCACGCGCCACAACGAGACTGTGCAGTCGAAATGCGCTTGGACGAAGGGCACGGATGCACTGTAAATAGCAGCGAATTGGCAGGACACAGATGTGAGCAACCTCGATCAAACCCAGCCTTAACCATTACTGTAAGAACCCTGGTGTGACCACACTGCCTGAGGAATTACAAATATATGTGCCGTGTGTATATATATATATACATATATGTGTGTGTGTGTCTATATATGTGTGTGTCTATATACATCCAAGTCAAGGGTGTCTCAAAAATGTTTGGCCACCTCCCTGTGGGCTCACCTCAGTCAATCCTGTTTCCTCTCACATGTGGAGCTTGGTTGCCTCGGTGAGCACCTTGTTTTGGCCCATCCCGTGGCCTCGGGTCCCGCACGATGTCAGGATTACTCTTCACCAGGCGGCGCCTCAGCCCAACACCCGACAGGTGGGTGTAACGTAGACTCTTGAGGACCATACACCCCCCAATTTGGATTAAAAAGCCTCTTCATATGGGCGGAGATATTGCTCAAGAGTCTACATTAGAAGGGCAGAGCAGTCCATCCTTCCCTTTCCGAATGGAAGGACCATCGGTCAATCCAAGTACCACCCCATGATGACATCTCTAACATCTACTTATCTAAAGCAAAAGAACAAAGCAGTTCTTCCCAAAGTTCAACGACCCGTCCCCCGACCAAGCTACACATCTTCGATCTCCTCGAGGCTACTCAGCTGGTCTAAGTACACGGAGATGGCACGCCAGTCCTGCCAGAGCTTGAGTTGAGCGGGGGCCGGGGGCGGAGCTGGGCGGCTTGACAGATCGGATCTCATGGCGCCCACACAGCACGGACTGACGTGTCGAACCGAACCTGCTCCACCGCCTTCAAGATGGACGCCTCGTCGAGTTTCGCAGCATGCCTTGGCAAAGGCGCGGGAAAAGGTGAAATGCAACACCCCTGGAAGTCAAGTCGACCATGTTTTTTAAATGGTTGATCTGGTTTTGTAGTGTAAAACCCTTAGTAAAACAATGGTGGCTCGGTAAAGGCTGTTTTAAAATGGTGGTTCGACTTCTACGGACACTGCAAGCGATTTGGGGGGTTCACTAGGGATGAACCACAAACAAAGCGACGGTGGCTCATAGACCCACGCAAAGGTGGCCAAAAAGACCCATTGGATACTTCTTGCTGGGTGTTGTTTGGGTGTTCGTGGGATGAACACGTCAAAGCGAACCGTCTTGCTGGTACCACTCGTACCACTCCAACGAGATGTCCGGTGGAAAGAGTCCGGCTCCGCTGCTGACATCGCATCGGACCAAAAAGGGGGTGGAGATCAGGAGATCGTGTCTTTTCCGGGCCGTTCGTGGGAAGTTTGCCGGGAGTGTCGTAGTAGCCGAAGGAGTGTTCGTGCAACTCCAAGTCAAAGAAGTTCTAAAGATAACACTCTCTCCCTTTCTCCCTCTGACTCCCAAGTCACATATGTTAAGAAAACGCTCTCTCCCTCTCTCCCTCTCTCCCTCTCCGCTCTTCCCCTCTCCGCTCTTCCCTTTCTCTCCTACTCCCTCCCCCCTCCTCCTCATTGCTCCTTCTGCTTTGCACTCCCTCCTCCATCCCTCCCTCCCTTTTGCTCTCTTGCTCCTTTTCCTCATCTTTCTGCTCTTTAGGGTTTCTTCGGGGTGGGCTTCGGGTTTCACTTCTTTAGGGTTTCTTAGGCCTTGCTTGCTTGCTTGCTTGCTTGGTGAGAAGAGTGAGGAGAGAGAAGGCTGACTCGGGCAGAGTAGGGGACTCAGGCGCCGCCGAAATGCTCCAAGAACCGTAGATTCAGCATACACAATTCGGTCAATAGGTGATCCCAACCTTAACTTGAGTTGGGGTCGCTTGGATTGTCAAAGTTGCCCGTACAATTATGGCATCTCATTGAGGAAGCCTAGCTTTACTAGGACTAGCTGGTTCGACCGTTTTTGTTCCTCTAGCTTCATGCAGATATTACAATATTAGGGGCTTCTTACGGTAGGTCGACTTCTCATGAACTCAGCTAAGTTTGGTCGAGGAAACACCGTCGCATACCAAACAAAATGAATGCATCCACCAGCGCCTGACACCTATATATATATATACATATGTATGATAAAATATATATGTTGTATATCTATCTATCTATCTATCTATCTAAATATATATATATATTTATTGTTATTTATCTATATATTAACTTACATTATATACTGCAGATGTCAGCTCATCCTTTCGTGACTTGGGCATTTTACGCCGCCCAAGTGACTGGGCCATTGCATGGACGGGTCCAGCTGACTCTCCCGTGAGCCCGTGTTCACCCAAGAAAGTGACATCCAACGACCTTAATGTCTCTTGATTCATAAACCCCCATATGAAGAGGACTTCCAACCCACATGAAGAGCACTTCCAATTCAAATGGAAGGGCTTAATACATCCAGAGTCTACATTAGGACAAGGAACACAAGCAAAGCAAGAAACGAAACCTTCCGCAACCCGCAGAAGTCGGCACATTCGCCCAGTGATGTTCGGCACATCATCCCAAATTCAACCTTCCGTGGCAGAGGTTGACCGAAAACCCTCCGATCGTCCGATCGTCCAATCTTCACAGAGCCAAGAAAGGAAGAACCGCCCGTCTCACCCTGCGCCAGGTGTCCCCCGCGGGCGAGCCACGCGCAATGAACACCACGCGCGGATCCCTCCCTCTCTCCGCGGGGTTTTTTTCACCCCATCCCTGGGCGCGCCCGGCGCCACGGCACGCCAGCTGTGCTTCACCGCCTCCTGGACAAAGCGACGCGACTCGGTCTCCGCAAGTCGGTGGACGGTCTCGGTCTCCGGTCGGCTGGCTGCGTGGTCGTGATCTCCGGTGACTGACGTCGGCGCCTCGTTTTCGTGATGGCTTGCAGCTTGACATCCTCTACACAAGACGGGGTTGTTTTATTGTTGTTTTTAGTATCCAAATAAGTGAGTGGATGTGACAGGGGCACCCCGACTTCCTCCAAGTTCGGCACCCCGCATGGACCTCTTGGAACTCTTTCTTTGACGGACATTGGGGCGCTTGGACTCTTGGACCAATCTCCTGACTTGACGTGGAGAATGTCTCCACACAAAACACGGCAGAACCTCTCTGTCCAGTCTCATGAGACCACCTACATGTGACCAGGCCGAGTCTAAGACGAATTGACTAGAGTCACAGTCTAACTCAGTTTGCACAAGTCTGATGTAAGGGGAGTTAAACGCTTTTGATCCATGATCGAAACAAATGTAATATATCGTTCAGTCAAGAAGCAAGCCTTTCTGCTTGCGTATCGTAAAGACCGACCCCTGTTTCATCAAGCCTCCAGAATGGATGTGCTGAGCGACCACATTCTATTTTGAAACACCGTGCCTATACCTTGACTGACCTTGGATTGCAGAAAGAAACCCAGCTTTTAAGAAGAAACCTCCTGCGATGCCAATAAAAAAAACTCTAAAGTAGTCTCATCTCGCTCTTCGTTTGCCTCACGTAGTCTCCCTCTCTTCCAAGTCTCTCTTCGTCTGAGTCTCGTCTCTCTCCTGGATGATCGAAGGTTCACTCCTCACCTGGCCCGGAGCACTTCGGTGTTGGGTCGCTGGAGGGGAGAGCCATCGTGGCTGTCAGGCTCCTGGCTGTCAGGATCCTCGCCTCTGTGTGAGGCTTTCCTACCTGGACCCATCCCAGGGAGCCTGGGTGTGCTGGCTACTGCCTGGCTATATCGGTTTTTCCGGGGGTGGCCCAGCCAGCCGCGCCCATTTTTGCAAGGTGGTGTCCCCTTCATTGTGTTGCCATGTTGCCAAGCATCAACACCAGCTTTCCGTGGGGCGCTTTCGCCCACCAACGACCCTCCACTCTCCCTCCGTTGGGCTGCGTTTGCTGTGACCAACTCCCAGCCGCCCCCGAAGGTTCCTTCGAATCTCACCGACGGACGGAGTCCCACCGACCCTCCATGGGTGCGCCTGCTTGAGGCGATCGAAACGAAACCTGCGATCGAACATGAATTGGTACACCTGCGATCCAACTGAACAGGATCGGGGATAGGCCCAAAAAGGGGTGCAAAATGTGTCTGCACCAAGTTATATTGTATCCCAAAAAGTTCACCCACTAAGTTTGCCCACAAGTTGTTTGCAAAGGAAGACCCAGACTGGACCAACCTTGCAAATGGCATCAACTGCAACGGCCTGCTGGATTTTTGGCCCGTTGGCCACCTCTTGGCTTGGTGATCGGAGAAATCCGGGGAATTTGGGTCAGTTCTTGGCTGACCACTGACCATGACCACCACGGATCGTGACACAACCCCCCCCTAGATTTTTGATGGAAAAGGACAAAGACTCGTAGCTCATCCCCAGACTCATCCACTCCGGAGATTCCAATGCTCTTTTGTTCTGCTCCATCCGCCCCACCCGCGTGAAGACGCGCACCCGCTCCCATCGGACCCCGAACGGCCGCGGCGCGTCGTTCGCACACGGACCCCCCCCCCCCGACGACGCGCGGGACGCGCCCGCGCGCCCGGTCGGTGCCATACTCGAGGACCTAGCGAGATGGATCGAGGCGTGGGGATCGATCCATGGTGGATCAAAACAAACGGAAGCATGTCATGTCAAGTCGTGGGCGTGAATGGATTCCATTGGAAAAAACACCGGGAAGAGGCATTGAACAACAACGGTGAACGGTTGAACAACAACGGTGAACGGTTAAGATGTTGTTCAGTTGGAGTGGTGTGTTTCAGTGTTTCTGAAACGATGGAACAAGTGGGAACAAAACAATGGCCAGGAAGCTTGCCCGTCTTTTTACTATCGAGTCTGTCTCATCTTTGAGGGATGGATAGGTATGCTATAGTCTACTATACACTGTACTCATTGAACCTGGATGGTTCGGTTCTCCGGTCAACCCACCAGAAATCCCCACCCCCTGGAGACCGTCACCCCCACAAGTCTCTTCGCGCAAAAAAACACACACCGGTCACCGGCAGACGACTCGCGCCATGCTCGGGCTTTTGATGGTCTTCCGACTCGCTACATCCGGATGAATCTGCCACTTGAATGGTGAACCATCAGAGATTCATGATCAATGTAGACTCATTGGTTTTAAAAAACGGATTGCAAACCTCTTCATACAGGGAGTTTGTGATGATACTGTTGATGCACCACTTCACGCACAGTTTTCTTGCTGCCCTCGTTCTCCCTCGTTAACATTGGGGCCACCACAGTGAGAAAATTAGAACAAGTTGAAGGTCCAAAATCCTGCACCACCTTTTCAGAGGGGTCGCACCAACATTGAATGAGGGGGCGCGGGGGTTGCTATGCGACCCTTCCAGGGTAAAGTGGTGAGGTGGTGCAGGAGTTCGTCCATCCTTGGCGCAATGATATTATCAAGAGTCTACCTTGGCGCAGGTCCCACCACCTCCATCCACCATTCGAAATCGCCCGAGCTCCGCATCTGCTCGGCGCCCGCACGTCCACATTTCGCTTCACCGCTTCAAGCATCACCTGCAGCGTCAGCCGGTCTTCAGCGGTCGCCACGGCTTCGGGTGCGACGGGTGGCACCGGTCGACCGGCACCTCCACGTTGTCGCAGAGGCTGCTGGGGCCCTCCTCATAGGCCAAGCGCCAGCCATGAGGGATCTCAGTCACCACCGCAAGCCAGAACTTGGGGTCCTGCACGCGGTGCAGGAAGAAACGCTGCGACGTGCACGCAGAACGGGTGATCCCAGCGACGACTACCCAAGACCAGAGGAACGTAGCGTTCAAAAAAGGAGTTTGGGGTTTCTAGGATCGGGTGTTCCCAAGGTGCAAACGACTACATCCACTGCAAACGACTACATCCATGTGTTCTCAAGTATGTAGCGAGTTTTGTGAATGTGGAAACTGAAGAGCCTAAGACGCGGGCCTTTTCGTAAAAGCACCCCTCTCCGAAACTGAATGAAGTGGCCCTTCACACTTCCCTCGGAGTAAGGACAAAGCCTTTGCAGACTCTGCATGGACTCTTTGACCATCCGCGAATTGGACGGGGCTTTTCTGTTTGTCTCCGGTCCGACCTTCGAAAGGCCAAAGACTTGACCCTGGCAAGAAAAAACAATGAAACACGGCGAATTCCCCGTAACATGCCGATCGCGGCACCCCGCCCACCGTCGCGGCACCCCACGCGTCGGCGGACATCGACGCCATCGGGAGGGCGAGTGGCGGGGTGGGGTGTTCGCGTCCTGGTAGAGCTCAGGCGTCAGCCACTTTAAGGCCACGTCCTGCCGCGAAGAACACGTGCGAAAAGGTGCCCCCAAAGAACCACACGGAACGAAAGAAGATGGACACGTTGTGGCTCAGAACAAGAAGTGCTCGAACTCGGAGCACGCTCCGATTTGGGCCAAAGGTCTCTTCACCCACACCCGTTGTGCGGAAGAGGTCACGGTCTCTCAAAGTTAAAACCTAGTCATAGACCGTTTCTTTTTCAGAAAGTCCGAGTATCATATGGAACTACAGCGCTTGAAGCGCCATCCTTCATAAATCCTTATATTATATATATATATTCAAAACAAAGATCCGAACGAGGCTGGTCTGGTCTCCTGCAGCTTCACTGCCGACAACATGAAGTCCAAGTCGCTCCTGCCCGAAAGACAAGCCGAAAGACAGAACTGTATCTTAAGAACAATGTGCACCAGGAAAGTGAAGCAGTGTCGGGTTACAATAGTTCTCTAGGGAACGTGCAAACACAACAGGACATCCCACAGCTTCATCCGATTTCCCAACAAACCCACGTGGGCAACACCTGAGTTCCCTGCAGTGACTTACCACCAGGATTTCAAACGGCTGCAACAAATCAGCCGTGGACTTCAACCCCTTCGGTTCCTGTCGTGCAACGAACACTGGGGGTCTGGGTTTGATGGGTGAACACATCGTTTGATGGAGAAAGGCACCCTTGTCTACAGGGTCGGAAGCAGATGCTCCATAACCCGTGAGAAGGCGGAAACCATGTCCAAGAGGCTCTTAGAAGGAGGGTCTGACGAGGCTGGCGGTGGATGAGGTGCCCCGTTCGGCCGGATCCGGAGGAGGCCCCCGCCTCTTCAGGAGTTTTTCGTTCGGGGCCTCCATAGCCATCCACCAAAAACGTCTTTGGACTCAAATGATCAAGCAAAAGGGCAAGATTCCACTGAAGGCTCCAAGGGAGCCCCAATCTCGACCTGACCATCCAAAATCACCTAAGGACTCCTAAGGACTGAGGACCTCGCCATCGAGGTGGTTTAAACCACGCGTTCTGGACCGGTGTGATGGTTTTGGAATGGAGGGGAGGAGATCAAGACGAACAAGTTGAATTGCAAACGAACAACATAAACCTTCTACAATGACTGGTTTGTGACCTTTCTTCCCCTTGTATATAGGTCATAAACCATGATTTGTGAGCATGTTCCTTCTGGTGTTGTTTTTTGTACCACACAGTCTAAATATTCCATTTATATACTTGAGGATGGCCGCAGAAGGCCATAGAAATCCGTCGAAAGCCAGTTCGTCCCGTCGAGTCCGGTCGAGTCCGGTCGCTGGAGGAGGTTTTTGTATCAAAAGCTGACTCCTGAGGCTACAGGGCTTGCGCTTGAGGCCTCCCAAACCTCCACCGGAGGTTCTTTGACTCATTCAGCCATGACCAAGGTGGGACACTGAGTCTGGGATGGGAAAGTTCACCTGTCAGGATGTGCAAGTCCTCCACTTTGGAGCCTGTTTTGCATCACGAACTTGGGGATGGTCACCCGGTGGCGGAATTTATTGAGTGCGCGGCCTGTCTGGTAAACTGCGCAAAGCATTTCTGCACGTAGGCTGCTTGCCCCTGCTGGCTCAATACACACTCATCCTGTGGTAGGGTGGCCCCCTCTTATGTGCAACAGAATCCGCTATAGTCTAGCTGGTTAGAATACTCGGCTCTCACCCGAGCGACCCAGGTTCGAGTCCCGGTGGTGGAATTTATTAAATGTGCGACCTGTCTGGTAAACTGAGCATTTCTGCACGTAGGCTGCTCCCCCACCCCCATCCCTGTCCTCCGCGTGGCGTCCGCGAAGTCCAACGCGGAGACGTCCCGGCGCACTGCCTGGCGATGATCGCCAGCACCAATGAGGTGTTGATCCGCTGCAGTACTGGGGAGATGTAGACCCATGTCTGACCATGTCTCCAGCACGAAAGATAGAACGGGAACAAAAAAGAACCTGTCGAAAGCCTCCAAGCATCTGGCATCTGCCCACACATTACCTCCCCAAAGCCTCATCCAAACCAGCACCAAGCTACACGAAAGGCTCTGTACTCTCAAAGCACCAAAATAAATGTCTTGATCCCTCCTCCCAGATTTCAAGACATATCAAAACCTCTTTTGATCAACGACATGTTTCGATCTCTTCACTCTTCACCTCAGATGTTCAGTCCCAACGCACTGACAGGGCAAGCGTGGAGACGTCCGCCGATCCTCCAGGTAGAGGTCCCCCGCTTCGAGGAGATCGGAGGCTAAAAACCTCAGCTCCGAGGGTTGGGGGCCGCTGGGGCCCTGGAGACCCGGAGCTCTTACGCAAACATGGGACCGGACCACCTCGGACGGCCATGTGAATTGAGTGATCCCTTTTTTTCGTTCGAGCTGGTCGGTCATCAATGTTCATGGATGGATCGGTTTCTGCAAGACTGAAAAGTGATCTGGGGGGCTACCAAAGCCCGGAAGGCCCAGAGATCGTGAAAGAAAAAGGCCAGAACGCCCACACCAGCAAAAGGTGTCTTCATCCATTTCCAAACCATCCAAGGTCTCGCTCTACCTTGCATCTGTCGGATGATGCTGATGCTTGAACCAAAAGCAACCGACTGTCAGGTGGGCGCATCATGTTGGTAGAGCCCCACAGCCCACATCAAGTCTCTTTTAGACAACTCTTATTACATAGGCCCAAATCCAACACAACTGCCCATTTTGGAAGTCAAACGGGATCCATGCAGAAAGAACAAAACGTTCTGTCACCATTTGCACTTTTGGCATCTTTTGACACTAAGGCTAACTTTCAAGGGTCAGAGCCTTCCACCAAGAATGGTTACTATCCATCCGCCGCTTGAGAAAGAACCTCAAGCCTTACCGGCCCTTCCGAAAATCTGGCACCTTTTGACTAGTGGCTAGTAGAAAGGTCGAGTGACTGACCGAGAGACACCAAAAACAGGCACGGAAACCTCACTTACGAGGACAAGAATCTCCAAATAAGATTGAGTTTCTATGACTATGAAATGACTTCACGAATGTTGAGATGCTTGAAAACGCAGACTCTTGAGATCCACCAAATGTCCAATTGCAGACACAGGAACTGGACGCACTGCCAACGACAGCGGATGGCCTTCAGCATGAAGTCACGGTCCGCCCACAGGGAGTCGTCTACGTGGATCAAGGCACGCCAATGCCTTAACGGATGAACCGATGAACCCTCTGGTAGGATCCAGGGCCATCAAGGGCTCATGATCGGCATGTGTTACTCCAGAAGGAATCTTTTTCGGATGAAGGAGTTGTGCATTCCAAGCAGCTGAAATACCTGAGTTTCTCCTTTCAACAAAACATAGTTCCATGGAGCACACCCCACGGACTTGGGGGAAGTTCGGGTTTCATCGTCATCCATGAAGCAGCCATGCCCTCCAGGGTGAGGGATGCCCTCCAGGGTGAGGGATGCCCTCCAGGGTGAGGGATCAAAAAAAAGATAACGTCGACGTGAACGAGAAAAGGTAATATGAAAAGGGCGGCGGCAGCAGCAGGGCGACAAAGGAAACCAGCAGTCCCCCCACAGAGCAAACACACACACACACATATATTATATATATAAATTCCAAAAAGAAAAGCAAGAAAACTGTGTTTAATTTCATTGCATGTTCCTTTCACTTCCCGTCCAGCGGACCAAAGGACCAGGAGACCGAAGGACCAGAGCACCAGCGGACTGGGGACCACTGGATCCTGCTCTCATTTTTCGTTTTGATCCAGATGCCTGCTATCCACGTAGCCATCCATGAGGACCTTGTACAGTGACAAAGGGAGGGTAGTTGGAATCTCCGTTGACGGTCCACCTGACAAGTTTCCCTCTGGCCGGAAACGGCTCACGTCGTGAACTGCGAACTCTCCATCTTTTTCCCTGCAGAATGTTGTATGGTGAGTTTTTCATAGTTTTTCACCATGACACACGTGACAACTTTAAGCTGCCAGTCATGTTCTTCCAAATTTGCTGGATGCAACGCCATGCCCATCCTCAAAGACAACAAGACAACCCTTTTCCGGTCCAAAACGAGAAAACATCCACCTCCCCCCCCATGATGAACTGAACTGCCCAGTCCGCAGAACTGCCCAGGCACTGCTGAACTGCTTCGAGGCAAAGCTCTGCGTCTCGTCGCAACTCCACCGAGGCGTACTGCAGGGCGTTCCAATTCCTCGCGCTCGATGGAACCCCGGAGGCCCGAGCCTGCGGTTGGACCGGTCGAGTGTGGGAGAGGCTTCCACTCCATCTCTTGAAGCGGAGACCTCCCAGATGGTCCCAGATGGGCCCCCCAAGGAGGTTACAGCTGGAGACATCTTGATCACCCAAATCGGCACGGCGCTGTCCAAAACACGGAACCTCCCATCGAATCATTGGACCCTCCCAAGTTCTCCTTTCCCCTCATCCCCCCCACCCTTTCCGCATCGCGTTCGCCCGGTCATGCGGATCGCCCGGCGGATCACCTCCCGCTCGTTCCGCTGCAGGTCGGCCTGGGATCACGGCGGTTTGTAGGCGAAGTGGCAACAAAAATAACAAATGTTTCACCAAACGGGGGTGAAAGCCCAAACGAAGTGATGTCAACATGGTTTGTTTGGGTCGGTCTTTCGTCCGATGTCCATCAATCCATCGCTTGGACGACCATTTGAGGAGGTTGTAGTTAGTAAGTAGATGGATTCACCCAATGAGAAGTGAAATCAAAAAATGGGGTTGGTCTTCAGAACACATGCGTTCACTCTCGAACCTGTTTGAATCTCCAAGCAAACAGCACTCACTTGGAACTTTGGAGCCTTCGTACCTGTGCAGCTTTTCGAAGATTTCTGCAGCTTGATGGGGGTCGGTGTGCAGATTCAAGACATCGAAATCTCTCGGTGTGTGTGTGTGTGTGTGTGTGTGTCAGGGTCTCAAAAGACCAGACCCTTTTCGCGGTCACCACCGAGCCTTTTCCAAGATTTGGAGGTTCACCTCACAAGCCTCGAAGCCGCGGCGCGTTTCTCGGGGTCCAGGGGTTGCTCTGACCAGGGTGTGGCACTGGGCGCGAGCTGCGTCTAAGAGACCAAGAAAAAAGAACCAGACAGATTGGCCAAAAGCACAAACACAGATTGGCCAGGGTTGGTCACACATTGGCCAGGGTTGGTATTGTTTGTTCATTGCGAATCTTCGTTGATTTTCATTCTTTTTCCGGGGCTGGGTTGGGACAAGTCGTGTGTGTGTGTGTGTCCTGATCAGAAGCGTTTAGAATCCCAGAGAGGCGTTTCACTGTGAATGTGAATCCGCAGCTTTGAGAAACGGCCCTTCCTGAACGTCTACGAGGACTAGACGTCTAATGAACGTCTACTAGGATTACTAGGTTTCTCATAGACGTCTATTAGACATCTTGGCTCAATTCTACAAAAGACCCACGACTCTCACCACGCGTTCACGCGGCACTCCGCACGCGCGGAGGCCTTCAGGATGAAGCCCGGATCCTGCCAGTGCCGTCTGGTTTTCATTTGTTTTCCCAGATTTCTGAGTAAAGAAACCATCAACATCCAATCAGCCTTCCAGTGTCACGCGTCAAGCACCACCCACGAGACTCCACTAGGCGACCTCTCCTTTTCCGCCCCACCGGACAGCCCTGTCCCCGCCTGCTGCAGCTGCGGTGACACGAACTCAAAGGCGTCCGCTTCGCTCCGCAGCGCGCAGAGGGCCACAGCCGGGTCGCCCTGCAACTCCTCGAGCACGTCTCTTAAAGATGACCAAAATAGCATACCCATGAAGAAACGCTACCCAAACGAAAGAGCATGGTCAAAATGCAGGCTTTTGAATGGAGAATGTCTCAAACAGTCGCATCCTGGGATGTGGTGTTCCAAGACTAGAGAAGCTCCCTGAGGAAGGTGCTGTTTCAAAAGTTGCTGATGATGCTACTTTGCAATTGTGTATTATCAGCATCACATCAGCACTAAATCCAAAATAATCCAAAGATGTATCTGCACTGGTGGAGAAACCCTATATATCTGCTGTCTACATACATGAAGCTTGTCGTCCAATGCTCCAACACATCTTGTCTCCGAGAAGCAACCCAGAATCATAGGAACATGATTGCATGTGGATGCCAAGACTATCCTCTCTCTCTCTCTCTCTCAGTTGTATGCTCTCATTGTGCGCCCTCATACCATATGTCAATGTGTGTTCATGCATCTCTCAGGTGAGTAGGTGTTTTTTTCTGCTCTACTTTAAAGGAAAGACACGCTGAATATCTTGAGGGTTGCCATCCAAATGTTTGTTAGAAGTAATTACATACTTCAGAAAATTCTACCCACAAACTATATCCTTTGTTTTCATTCGTTTTCCCCTCAATGTTGCACCCCAGACTCACCGGGTCCTCTTCCGAATCTAAACATGTCATCCTTTTGCTCCGTCCATTTCCGCTCCCGTCCTCAGAGGCATAGCTCAGGCAATGCCCCGCCTGACCCACAGCCTTGAGCATCACCTCGCCGAACAACTCGGCAGAACAGACGGAGAATCCACCCGTGGACGGTCTCCCGCCGCGAAAGGACCACAACCGGGGCAACCAAACAGGGAATACGCTGCCTGTGAGGCTGCCGCATTCGTTCATGCTACAGGTGATAACGGCCTGCTACAGGTTCTGGGTGATCCAGTTCCGGAGAGGATGGACCTGTTGGACTGGGGAGGAAAGACCACTAAGCAGCAGTGCTATATAAGTGTCCTCGTTCTCACATCGACGATGGAATTCAAATAGAATATATAACTCAGAACTATATAGTCATATAGTTCAATATATTAAAAGTCATCATTTCTATGTGTTTCTATTGTCTAGGGTATCGGAAAAAAAGTATATTGAATACTGATACTGAAGAGACATCCTCACCTTCCTGTCTCGCATCTCTCCAAGCACGATCGGCGCCTCCTTCTCGGCCGTGAGCTCCTTGGGCGCAACCTCCAAGACCCGCCAATCCGCCTCGACCGCCGTGCGCCAGGCCGCCAAGTCCATCGCCAGCACCAGCGCGCCCCAGCACACGCACCGGGCTTGAAGAACAATGAGAATGGTTTTTGTGGTGGTGTGGAAAGTCTTTCTGGGGAAATCCCCAAAAAAATAGGAATCGTGCAGAACCTTCAATTCATGGATGATCGCAAAGGGTTGTTCTTCCAAGCCCGCTTGGTCCTTCTTTGTTTTGAGCACAGTCCGTTATTGGGAAAATATGTTGGCGCTGCACTTCAGCTCGAACAACCAGAATCGAATGACAAAGGAACAAACCGTATTGAGGGCAATTGAAATGCGGCTACTAGTTGTTTCAGTCAAATACAAGCGCCAACCGCTTCTATGCTCCTGAGACAAACAACACATTTTTGCAACCTTTACTGATAACCTAGGATTGTGAACGATGAATATTTCAGCATCTGAATGGCAAACGGCTCCTGGTTTCGAATTGGAGTGAACAACGCTTCATTGTTTGCACAGTGTGTGGTAGATTAAACGTGCAGCAAAGCTGAAAGCCTGCGCAATCATGCACCACAGGCTTGAGTTGCCAAAGGATGCGGATAAACAGAGAGATGCCTGTCACGGGAGACACTGGTGGTTTCGATGCTTTGCACTCCAAACATGTAGGCCTGAGCTATGATGACTACGATGTAGCCCAGCACTCAAACGCATGGTATTACAAGTTCAACTGTGACCCATCTTTTTCGGGAACGTGGTGAAACGCATTTTAGACTTTAAACTTTAAACATTCAAATCCGCCTTCAGGATATTACCTCGGCCAGGCATCGCAGGACCATGGATGGTAGATGGCCTACATGGCACGTAGATCAAAAAGAAAGATCAGGAGCAAGAAACGATAGAACAGGATCAAACAGAAGCAAAGAACAGGCTGAACAACTAGAACACATCCTGAATGTAAAACCTTTGCCAGCATCATCCAGAACCTTACCAAACCTTACCCAGCCACATCCTGCTCTGAGTTTTGGAGAATGATGCCTGCGTCTCATCCGGCACTCAGCCAAGCAAAGCAGTAGCAGAGCCCACACTCTCGTGTCTTCTTTCAGCGTATAAAAACATAACAAAAGGTTTCTGAGCAACCAGGTGGTACATCGTTAGAAACACCGCATGTTTTCTTTGCTGCTTGCCCAAATACGCTACCCTGTGCACTCCGCAGGCGGTTGGTCATCGGACCCCAAATTGCGACTTCACCTTCGCCACGTTTTTTGAGTACTTGGTCATTGATGGATGCGGATCCGCTATGAAAAACAGTTCGCAGCATCCCAAAGGAGCATGCTTTGGACATTGCCAGAGTTGGCCAAAGCCAGTGGCTTGGGGACAATACCGCGGGGTATTGGCCGTCGCCAGGAGTCCGAAAAGTGCAAGCTGTGGAGTAATTCTTCTGCTCCGTCGAAATGATAGGAGACCTGGAGCGGGAAGGGAATTCCCAAGGCCGTTGGTTTGCTCGAGGGGCATTGTGGCCATTTGCAGCAGGTGGTCGGCAGAGACCGTGGTACCGACCTCAGCCAGGCGAAGGATGGGGAGCCCTACGGTGCTTTTTTTTTCCACGAGTGCGGACGCCATGTGGGCGGTGTGCCCAGGTCATCATAGAAGGAAAGGAAACACAGCATGTTGATGGGTAAAATAACACAAGACAACCACCAAACAAACAGGGCAAAACACAGAAAACCCCAAAAGCCCAAACCAAAACCAAAACAGAAAACCAGGCCACCACCACGGGTTACCCATCAATGACAGTAGTGTTTCCTCTGTACGGGTGTGAGACAGGTGAAAAGAGAAAACGCAATGTATCTAAGGGCCTGAATTCGCTACGAAAAGGCAAAATGCATCTGGACGTGAGTGGTTGCTCGGGACGGCCAGTCAAATGTGGCCTCACTCTGTTGGCAAGGGTATAAGCATCCTTGCCTCTTTGGTGATTGGCACTCGGAGTATTTTGATATCCAACGTAGTGCCATGAGCAAAAAGTCAGCAGTGGCGATGACACATGCCAAAGAGTCATCAGTTGCAAGGCATGGCGAGCCGTGGAAAAATCCCTCTCCGTGGCACAATCCATACAACTGATTGCACAAACGAAAAGCAGAGGCTAGTCTCCAGTGCGGCGGTAGAAAGCGTTGCAACGAAACTGGCTGCAGACGAAGTGCTGATTTCCCTCCCGCAAGGGAGGCACAACACCCACCCCTTGGCACTCACGCATTCGCCGAAGGGGTGACATTTCCATCAGAAAAGGAGAGTTGAAGATACAATTCAACCACGTGCATGGCCCATGTGAAACGGGTGAAACAAAGACCTATCCTAGCATGGTACTTGTGCCATCTTTGTACAAGATTGGCTGTGGTTCGGCTCCCGCAGACGAGCAACTAAGGTTCTCCCTGGGTGCCTTCCATCAACCGCTCTGCTACCACCCGCCTACCAGGGACGAGGAGCTAAGGCTCTCATCCCGGTGGGCTCACAAAATTGCAGTCGATGAAGGCGAGATTGATGACTCTATCTGCTCGTCGGAGCCTGGCTTTCACTCAACACGTAGGGGAAGAGCATCTTACATTGACACAGTGCGACTAAGCAACTGTAAGTCCTAGCGCACTGCTTCAATGAAATCTTCCCTCCACATGTCTTTGGCGTTTGGCGGCAGGAAACGAAGCCACTTCGGCTTGTCTAATTGCTCGCATTTGTCAAAGGCATTGACCCGAGCGTGTGTCCCCCTCCACGTCGTGCTTTGCCCAGTTTGTAGAATGCGCAGCCAGGGTGGCCACCGCATAGCCGGACAAATGGCAAACGCATTTTCCTCGGCATAGATTCCTCTCCGTTTGTGTCGAAATGGGAGTTTGGTAAACTGGGCGAATGGCAAAAGCATTTCATGGCCACCAATGGAGGCATCAGTGATTCCCTATCACGTCCTTCTCGACATTGGAAGTTGGCCATTAGATCCTGGTGTGAACACAGGAAGCGTTAAGCATGAGGATGGGGAGCCCTACGGTGCGCGTAAGGTGCCCCCAAGTCAGCCCAAGACTGGCAAGGCCATGTCAAGGTGTACCTTTGCACCTCTGTCTGCAGCTTTCTAAGATTTTCGAGCCAATGGTCTGCAATTTTGCGCACAAACAAAAAAACAGCGAGTGTCACTCCCCGGTGAATGAGAAATCGCTAAACCTCGTGAGGCGTGCTCCACTTTGATGGGCATGGCTGTTACCAGCCAACGGGTTGTCCTGCACGATATCAAGCAGTGTGAAGGCGGCTTCCTTGATAGCACTCACTCTGCGCGCTGCATCTTGAATCAGGCTCGGGAAAGGCAACAGGCGTCGCGATATCAAGCAGTGTGAAGGCGGCTTCCTTGATGGCACTCACTCTGCACGCTGCATCTTGAATCAGGCTCGGGAAAGGCAACAGGTCTTGCGACACCTCTTGCCTACCTGAGGACTGCTTCGTGCCCTGTGCAGACCGGGAAGCTTGATGCAAGGACCAGCACACGGGCGCCAGCTCCGCACACAAATGACAGGGGCAGGAAGCTTCTTACGAGAGCGACGAGACACGGTGAGAGGCAGAGAGTCTGCAGTGTAACATTTTTTGGGCCGACAGGTGGTATGCCAGGTGTCCTTTGGGCATACACCCGCGGATGGAGACAGTCGGTCGGTGCACCTTGATTGCTGTCGAAATGTGAGTGCTAAGGCGTACAACACGGACACCAAGGCACCTCTCGCGTCTTCTTTTTTTTTGCACGGGTACGGGCGCTGTGTGTGCCGAGAGGCACAAGTCACCTTGAATGAATTCAGAGTAGGATGAGAAGACACGAGCCAGAACCAAGAAGGCCCAGCAACAAACAACCAACACCAACCAAAACAGCAACAACCCACACAAAAGGAGCAGGCTCATATCCTCCCGAGATGTGAAACAAAAAGTTGAAGATCCGGAGATCTAACACGAGAGTGAAACGGGGCAGTGAATTCTACATTCAGGCTGCACTCAGTTAAGGATGTCCATCATCAAGCCCCTTCCTGTTAGTTGGGTGCCGAATGTCCCGACACAGGTGTTGCGCTGCACAATCGTCGTTAAGCAAGACCGGATGCAAATGTGAGGTGCTTTCCAGGCCAGTTTCGGAGCTAGGCAAGACGAAACTTGTATCAAAGAGCACGAACGAGCCTATGCTAACGTAGATTTGCTCCTAATTGGCCTACTCTGTAACGAAAGGTCCTCCAGTTTGCGGGACAAAATTCCGGCTGGCTCTTGGCCTTCGCTTGAGCATTGTAATAAGCCGGGTATGTGCCAGGATAAGAGGTAGGGTAGGCAATGGGCATCACCCCCCCCTCGACATAGTGGACACATCAAGGCAAGACAATCCAGGAAGTAGTAAGGTGCGTGCATGCCGACCCACAGAAGCCACTGCCTCTATCCCGAGTCGTAAGAGGCATGACTCTATGGTATCTCTGGTCAAACATGCGAACTTGAAAAAGGGCCGAAGATCATAAGAGGCCTGTGACTGCAGCTCATTTGGTCCCGAAGCGCCTGCTTGTGGCCTGCAAGCTGACTTCTAAACTTGGGATTCGCCGTTGCTAGCCTAGTATAACCTATGCCGAAACGTCCGCATCCCTTAGCAAAGGCGAAGTTGGGTTCTGCTGCCATGTCCTCTTCCTGAGTTGCTTCCTCAGTACCAGCTTCTGGTGGTTCAGCAATCTCCACTAGCACCTGGCGATCGCTCAGCTGACCCGTGGCATCAGAGGCAGAGTCCTCTTCTGCAGGCAAGTCTGCAGAGAGGTGTCTGGCAGTTGCCAGGTCTCTCCACAAAGGGACTTCAATGCGCAGCCTCAGCTGCAGAAGGGAAGGGAACCAGATAGCTTGTCCCAAAGACGGATCAAGGCCACCACAAGAGTGCACTCTTTCAGCCCAGGACGTATCCGGCATTCGGGGGTGCGGTCGAGCAATTTCTTTAGTGTGCACTCCTACAACGAGCAGTGCAGGCAAGGGTGCGAAAGGCTCACCTCTCAAGGAAGGTCATTACGGCACCCTTCGGCACACAGAGGTCCCAAAACGGGGTGTCCTCTGACTTCAAGAAGTGCTGTTGCAAAAT